GGCACCCCCGGGTCTGAGGGCACCCCGCCGGCACGGAGCCAGGGGCCGTGTCCTCTGCCCTCCTGGAGGGTGGAGAGCCAGCAAACAGGGCTGCTGACCACAGGCCACCGCTCCCGCCCGGCCAGGATGGGCGGCTGTCTTCCTCAACTGCTCGTTTTTCTTTTTCCTTCTGTCCCTGTACAAAACCCACAGGACCTCATCGACCCCTAGTTCTGGTGAGGCTTCACTACACCCACAGCTTGCACAGTATTTGACGTCCTTTAGCCCTCAGAGACCAGTGGTGCTTCACTCTACCCAAAGGCTAGGTCCTGCTACACGCTGGAATCAGTCACAGCAATCGCCCCCAAAGCTACAAAACTCAGCTGCTTAACGGAGCCAGTTATAGCGAAGAAAAGTTGTACTTCGTGCATTTATATTAAATAGTGGTGCTATTTAATATTAATATTAATATTAACAGCACCACTAGCGACTGCCAAGGGGTTTACATCCATCGTACAGAAACGGAGATTCCACAGACCCCACTTTTAAGCCTTACTGTCAAGTTGTTGATGCCTTCAGAAAACGCTCCTATTTGCCTCACGGTCCCTTCTGAATCTTCCATCTACAAAAGACAGATAGTGAATAATCAATGTATAATAAATTAATTGTATGCCATGACAGAGTGGCAATTATGTGCAGTAAACCATGTAACAGCTTGATTACACTCTGTACAGTCAGCGCGAGGGAGGAGCGTGCCCTGTCAGAAGAGAAGAGGGCAGTTATGCCAGAGTAGGTCCTAAAGGCGCTGCCTTCACAGCTCAAACCTCCTTGGGCTGAGAGCCACATCAGTTCGTGGTGCCGTGTAACTGCAGGAAGTCAGGACCTTCGTGGGCCAAAGCAAAAGGAAGGCTTCCCTGCGAAGAGGAAGGTTTTTCCACCAAACCTGACAGCACCGCCAAGGACTCCAAACCGCTAGAACTGGCTTACCTGCTCCAGCCTGTCCAAATCATCATCGTCATACACTCGGATATCCAGGCCAGGCTTAAAACCCTTCTTCGACACACTTCCAGATGCCCGCTCCAGCTCCATAGGACACACATACTCTTCCACATCATCTTGCTTCTTCTTCCTCAGGCTCCCAAAATTGCTGAAGGCAAGTTTCTTTGGCTTACAAGTGAAGAGAGAGTTGCCAAGAAGTTAGAGAGTCAGCAAAGAATTAGCAGATCTCTGAGGCTTGCCTCGGTGTTTCAGTGACGAAGGGTCAAAACCCCACTGCTCTCCTAAACAAAGATCTTCTGAATAGCTGTGTTTCATCATAACAGCATCCAAAATTCCCCTCATTTCACCACTGTTAAGAACACCATTTAAAGGATCCCAAGGGAGATCAGAGTCCCGCTGCATTGAACCATGAGCATGTAAGCAGTAAGAGACAGTCTCCCTCCCAACCACCTTACAGTACAGACAGAAGGACAACACGAAAGAGTGCTGCCCCTTGTCTGTGCCTATGAGAGGCTGAGCTGTGGTGCACTGACAGCAGATACAAGTGTCAAAGCCAGATCTCCTGAGTCCTGTTCTCATGCTTCTCTCATTAGCAGCCAGCCCCTTTCCTCAGACCTTACTGAACTGCTCTCCAAACACAGATAAAATCAGCCAAACGTGGATAAAACCAGCACACTGGAGATCTAAATGGCTGCCTGGAAGCTCAGGCATGGCCCCAGAGCAAGTGACCTACCTTTACTTTGGCAGTTGCTGTTAAGAGGACGTAGTCTGGGGACTCCATGGCTTCGCGTTTCTGCTGCTGGGCCTCCTGCCCAACGAGGAGGTTGAAATGAGTCGCCAAGTGCCGTCTCAGTAGCGTTTTGTTTGGTGGGATGTTCAGCAACTGTGCCATGGTTTCTACATTGAAACGAGGCTCCAAAACCTATCAATCAAACCACAGAGAATCCAGCTGAATCCAGTACTGTCTGATGAGGTCTCAAGGACATCAACAGGTACACCTATCTTGGTCACTTCCTAAGGCTGCTTTGGGGTTTTTGTCTGTATTTTGCAGGAAATATACAACCAAGACAGAGAAAAGAGAGTTAACGAGTTAAAGGATCCATCAAATGCTACCTCCAGGCTTTCCTTCTTGAGCTCTAAATAGAAACAAATTGGCAGGTAAGAATAAAGCAATGGGTAAATCCACCTGTAACTCATGTAATGCGTGAAGCTGCCACAAAATGCTTAGCCACCATCCTCTTTAATTCTAGAAAACACAGCCAGAGGAATAACGGAAAATAGACATAAAATGTTTGGAGCAGGGATATACCTCTTAATCACCACAACAAACTTCTGCAAGTTAAGTCTTGCCTGGAGTGTCTGATGCTAGAGCAATTACAGCCAATCCTGGTTTGACATTGAAATCACAAATTTTACAAAAGTAACAAGCCTTCCTCACAAATAAAAACATATCCAGGTCTAGGAAGGAAGATGGTGGCTGTTTAACAGCATGATAGCAGTGGACAGCACTGTCGGACACGAGGTGGAGAATGCCATACCTGAATTACATTGTGAGGGGAATCCAGATAATCAGACCCACTGCTGCCCACACTAATTCTGCCCAAGACATTCAGGTCCTTTAAACTATCGGGTAATAAATTTTGATAGCAATTTCTTATTACGCAGAATAAGAAGATAAGGTGTGTGTAGCAAAGATTATGTGAAAACCTTGCTCTAGCGATTCTCAGTCATATTTTTAAAAATAAAATGGAATAAACCAGCCTAAAGCCTTACCATCAGTCCCCCATGCACGCCACTCCCCCGCAGATTAGGAGCATACTCTGCCAGATCAACGGAGCGCAACCACTCCATCACGCGATGGTTGGTCCATTGGGTGACCTCAGAAGGTGTGACGTTGTTCTGTGAACAGGAGGAACAGGCTGTTAAGAAGACTTCTTGACTCGGCTGTCCCAGCCCTAGTCTCTACTGAAACAAACCTCTCCTGCCCTCAATGAATGCACTCACTTCAGAAAAAAACCTCTTTTTGTATTGCTGTCTTGCAGCAACACCAGTGCGGAGATGGGTCTGTGTTATGCTGCACACCGTTTGATTATCCTGCTGTGCACTAGGACTACTTCCAATTTCTACCAGCAGAACCCAAAATTTAACTAGCTCCAAGAGCCACTGTGCTTTCCTTGCAGACACGCATCGTGAATCTAAATCCAAGTGCCTGGCTTGCTTCATCATCCATTGCCCTATACAGCATACGCTGCTTCCAAAATGGAGCCTCATGGCAGTCTCCCGTCTGGTAACAGGGCCAAACTCCTTTGACACAGAAAATTTTGACACAGCCATCCATTGTCCAGCGAGTTACACAGGACTCACGGCAACAGTGTGCCGAGTTCAACATGATTTATGTTGCAGACAGCACATCAGAGACTAAGCCAAAACAGCCAGCTGTTGGCTAGGCAGAGGAGCGGGAGATTTGGCAAGGGGCCATGAGTCTGGGGCCATGACAGGTGGAGGAAAGCAAGTGGTGTTCCAGGTAGTGATGGCAGAGGATGAGACTTGGAAGAACAACACGAGAAAAAGGAAACCGAAAATGAAGCAGAATGAAATAGAAAGGAGAAGTCAGAGCAGGAATAATCAGAAACACCAGAGAAAAACTCTAAAGGATTCCTCTTCACAGTTTTGTCTCAAAGCAGTACCTCATCAGAAGGCCTCCTGCGCAGACAGTTGGGCTCAAAGTTATTTATTCTCAAAACTTGAATGGCCCTTTTGATGCTGAGGTGGTGGAGGACACTGACAACCTTCAAAGACAGCAAGTCATCCTGTCAAAGAGGAAGGGGGAGTTAATAAACACAAACGTGCTTACTGGTGGAACCAGCACCTGACTGGAGGAGACTGCTTCAGACCTTGAGTTAAAATGGCACACCTGACACATTCTGGGGTAAGATTTTAATACATGAGACATGATTAACACCAAACCATCTGTCCCAAAATAACAGCTTCCCATATTTCTCTGTGCTAGCTCCTGGGATGTTCTTCACACAGGGTACCGACCTTAGTACGAGAAATCTGGGGTAACAAGGAAGGGAGAGGGTGAGATGACACAGCCCCAGTGACCTGATCAAAGCCAGGACAGCTTTCCAAACACGGTGCATCAGACTCACCTGGCATTTGCATTTAATCCTGCCAAAAGTTTTAATACCCCAAACAACTAGCTAAAAGTTTAACTGAAAACAATAAAATACCCTGAAAATGGAGGCATTCTGTATAGTTAGAACGAAAAAAAAAACCAAACGAGCGAAGAAGAAAAACACGAAGGTGTGTCAGGTTAGTCTCCCACATCTGCAAATGACAAATGTTCTTTAAAATGCTTGTCACAAGTGACGGAACGATAGAAAGGGTGACTGTACCCAGGCTGCTGAAGTCTCCTTTGCCCCTGCTCACCATCACTGTGTAGCTCCTACCTGGCACAGGCACCGGTGATGGTTTGAGGGAAGGAGGGCAGGGTGGCCAGGAGCACCAATGCCCCTCAGACGTGCCAGGGGAGCACGCTGGACACACGGGCAGCCCGAAGGCTGGCTCTGTGACAAAGCACTGCAAGGCAGCCTGGCTGTGCCTTTACACCGCACTGTTTGTGTTCAGTGTGGCATGAGCCACTTCTCACATCGCAGGGCAAGAGCCTGCAACGGCACGGCCACACTCCTCCCGGCAACGCATCGGCGACACGGACAAAAGCAGCTGGTTCTTTCTCCAAAAGCTCGATCCTCGTAGTGGCTTTTACTGAAGCATTCATCTCACAGGGGACTTCTTCTATAGCTCGCACAGACCGGCTGCGTAGGCTCTCACCAGCCTCTGTGGAAAGTGTCAGGCGTCTCTCAGGACAACTCATGCCATGCCAAGGAATGAGATGGTGCCTCACAGTGCCCCTCTCTCTGTACTGACCACAGGGCACAGACAACTGCCTTTGGCTGAGCCAGTAGCTTTTGTATCTCAAGACCTAGGAGAGATGAGTTTCCCCCTTTCAGGACTACAACACCAAGCAGGAGTTTTGCTTTGGTTCCACTGAAGTTCTCTCTTCTCCTTTTTGTACTCAGGGCTCCTTCAAACGACCAAGGAGGGGAGAGCAAGGGGGCTCAACTTACAGGCCACATGTGGTGGACAAAGGTGAAGGAGACAGAAGCTTGAGATGAGGTTCACAGGTTAAAAAAGGCTGCTGGTGCTACTGAAAACCCCAATCTGCTGACAGGTTTGCAAAGGAAGCAATGCAGATGATGTCACATTTTGCCCACCTCTAGTTTCATTCCAATGAGTAGCCCCAAAAATTTAGCATTTCAAAACCAAAATAATTAGGTTCTCTCTCATTCAAGCAGCCAAGCCACGAGAAGTTGTAAGGAGGAGTAAATTACAGGCCTGGTCAGACTTCTCAGCTTCCTCACTGCTGCTGCTGCTCCACAGGAGTGTTACAGAAGAAAAACCTCCTGTGCACCGCAGCTGTGCTCACACGCTGCAAAAAAAAATTCCTGCCAAGTTACGCTCTTCACTTGTAATTCAGTCCTAACTGTGCCAGTTAGGGGACGGTGTCTCAGAGTCCAGTTCTCTGCTGGTGCAAGCTGGGTGACTTAGATAAATTTATGGATCCTTGCGCCATGGTTAACCTGGCTTAATATGTTTTAGTATTACTTTTGTGTTACGAATGCTGGATTTGATTTTGTCAGAATATTTAAAACTAGATTCTTCACTTACCCAAATACCTCTCATTGCATTTGGCTAATCTCATGATGAATTTAAGAGTAGAGTTTCTACATCATGATTTGTTATTTTATTTATTATAAAACAATAAATATTTGCTGTTTATTTTGAGTCAGGGTAACTTCATGAGATTTTTGAAAGTATTTCTTTCATACTTCGCATATGGCTGTATTTAGTTGGCCGTTTACACTGAATCTGTTGTTATAATCTGATGGTTAAATTCTGTCTAAAAATATCCCTAGTGGTCTACAATTAAAGCAAAGTGACAGGAAGAATATCTATTTAAAAGGCAAAGTTCCTGCTACGCATCCCTCCTCTGTCCACCTACTACTTTTCTTTCTTTTTTAATACAAAAAAGACTGACTGTTGAATAATACAAGTTCCCTCACCTTACAGCCTATGCTGCGTCTTACCCCCTTCAATCCTCACCCACAGAATCACAGAATGGTAGGGGTTGGAAGGGACCTCTGTGGGTCATCTCCCAACACAAGATCAAGCTCAGTGAAGCCTACTGGCATCAGCTCTCCAAGCCTTAAGCAGAAAGAGACTCCCTCCTACTTCTATATTAATATCCAAACTCAAAAAACTAAAGGAAACAAACTCCAAACCACACTACATAAGCAGTGAGTATTTCACCTCTGACCGAAATGGACTCAACAGCAAAGTCATGCCAGGCAGCCACGGCAGGTCAGTCCCGGGCAGCGGCTGCAGCTCCTCAGCAGTGCTGTGCTTGTCTTACAGGAGGAGAGTTAGATGGATCAACCCTAGGCTTCCTCCTGGTCTGCTTGTAAAGCCTATACAAAATACATGCAAATGTGACATAAAAAGGTAACTTTTGCTCTGCCTATGGCACGACTCATGAGAGAACAGGAGTGTGATGCATTTCTTCTTTGTTATACAGAAAGAATTAATATTGGCGACGCTCAGTTTGCATTTGTGTCTCCAGAGAAGAACAAAGGTCTTTTTTCATCTTACCTGAGACCTCACACAAAGAAAACCTGCTGGGTTGGCTTCACCTGACCTGCAGTAAAGTAGGGAACTGACCTGGTGCTAAGCAACTAGAAATATATTATGCAAAAGCTACTAAATGTAGCCTGTTTTCAAACAGGTTGGCTCTTAAAACAGCAATTTTCTTCGAAGGAAATTGCTTGGGTTTTCTTCACCTAAGCATCCACGTGAATAGGTAAGCAGACAAAATGTTTGCTCACTGAAGAAAAAAATTCCACTTACTTCTATTAATAAACAACAACCTGAAGGGCAAAGGCCCAACTGCACAACCTGCGACCACAGACTTCGCACACATTTGTGTACTTACAGACGCTGCCTGAGCACATCAGTCTCATGCACAGCTGTGAGGCACAAAAAATTGCACATTTCTCATGCACGAGTCCGGGCTCTCGCTTACTACGTTTGCTCTACCTTAAGATAGTATCTTTAAAGCTGAAAAGAATATAGGAAATACTTGCAGGTGAGTAGTAGTATCAGGCCTTCTGTTCCCTACAGGTTACAACTATTGGTATTAGCTTAACCGAGGTCACCTGCTACAGTTTCAATGGGTCCTCTAAACACCGCAATGAAGCACACAGACAAACCTGGCATTCTGGCACATCCTTTTGAAGTGGATTGAGAACTGGCTGAATGGCAGAGCTCAGAGGGTTGTCATCAGCGGAGCTGAGTCTAGTTGGAGGCCTGTAACTAGTGGTGTCCCTCAGGGGTCAGTACTTGGCCCAGTCTTGTTTAACTTCTTCATCAATGACCTGGATGAAGAGTTAGAATGTACCCTCAGCAAGTTTGCTGATGACACCAAACTGGGAGGAGTGGTGGATACACCGGAAAGCTGTGCTGCCATTCAGCGAGACCTGGACAGGCTGGAAAGTTGGGCAGAGAGGAACCTGAAGAAGTTCAAGAAGGGCAAGTGCAGGGTCCTGCACCTGGGGAGGAACAACCCCATGCATCAGTACAGGCTTGGGGTGGACCTGCTGCAAAGCAGCTCTGCGGAGAGGGACCTGGGTGTGCTGGTGGACGACAGGTTGACCATGAGCCAGCAGTGTGCCCTGGCTGCCAAGAAGGCCAATGGGATCCTGGGG